GCAGCGCAGCCAGTGCCTGGGACGTGGGAGGAGCAGGCTGTGAGACAGCTGGTTGTGGTGTCCCCAAGGGGTGGGTCCTTGTCCCCTAGAACAGCGTTCTCAAACTGTGGTCCATGAGCTCCATTCAGGTGGTCCACGGATAGTTACCTCTAAGGTGCATGCCTGGGCAGCCGCACACAAAAGAATGAAGGTCCACCCATCTAATTAGTGGAGCCGTGCAGGTATGGCTCCACTAATTAGGTGCCTGGACCCTGGAGAAGATGCAGATGTAAGGTGAGGTGGTGGCCTTTGGGGGGAATAGGAGGTAAGTGGGGGGGCAGTGGGGTAAGAAGAGGGTGTGGGGGGAATTGGGGATGTGCAGGGCTGTGGCAGCCGGAGAAAGAGGCAACTTTCCCCAGCTCCAGGGTTGCGGCTACCGAGGGGAGATGGCCCTCCTTCCCAGCCACACCTCTGTGGCTGCTGTGGTGGGGGAAAGACGCCCCCCCTCCTTCCCAGCCTCAGCTCTGTGGCTGCTGTGCTAGGGGAGAGACACCCCCACTCCTTCCTAGCCCCAGCTCTGTGGCTGCTGTGGTTGGGGAGACCCCCCCCCTTCCCAACCCCAGCTCGGGGGTGGCTGTGGTGGGGTAGAGACACCCCCCTCTCCTTCCCAGCCCCAGCTTGGTAGCTGCTGCGGAGGGAGAGAGACGGCTCTCCCCAAACCAGGGCTAAAACTTAATGAAAATCGCTTGTCCAGGCAAGTGATTTCCATTACATTTGGGGAGAGGTCTGGAAACCATTAAGGTCAGATCTTTGTTATCTGGTATAGTTCTGGCTCTGCAGAGTTCTCCCATTGACTCTTAAGCAACACTAGGTTTGGTGGGGATGCTGCTAGGTATTTTGTAGGATAAAAACCTTATTTGCAAGCTCTTTGAAGCAGGGATCTGTCTGCAAACTCCAAGCCCTCTGTTCATGTGCTCCAGGGCTTTATGAGTCCACTGTGAGTTTTTGAATTGGTGACACACACAATCATAGGCGCCAACTTTCCCTGGCGCTGGTGGGTGCTCGTGCCCCCCCAGCCCCGCTCTGACTCCACCCTTTCCCCACCCCTGCCCCACCCCCATTCCAACCCCTTCCCCAAAGTCCCCGCCCCAACTCCACCCCCTTCCTGCCCCTATTGGACCCCTTCCCCAAATCGCGGCCCCGGCCCCACCTCTTCCCCAAGCGTGCCATGTTTCCCCTCCTTCCCCCTCCCTCCCAGCTGCGCAAAACAGCTGTTTTGTGGCGCAAGCACTGGGAGCTGGGGGGGGAAAGCAGGCACGGGACGCGCTCAGGGGAGGAGGCGGAGGCAGACATGAGCGGGAAGGGGGGGTGGGAAGCTGCCGGTGGGTGCTGAGCACCCACCAATTTTTCCCCGTGGGTGCTCCAGCCCCGGAGCACCCACGGAGTCGGCGCCTATGCACACAATGTGAAACCAGAAGAACTTTGCCTGTCTCTACAGGGTTCTGCTGCATTTGCACAACATGGGTCCTAAACACCCCTTTAAAATACCCATAACCAACCACTTGATGCTTTATTTCCCTTCATATTTTCAGTGTTGTCACTTGTTTGTTTGTGGTTTTGTTTTGCTGTTTGTGTTAGAATCATAGAATATCAGGGTTGAAGGGACCTCAGGAGGTCATCTAGTCCAACCCCCAGCTCAAAGCAGGACCAATACCCAACTAAATCATCCCAGCCAGGGCTTTGTCAAGTCTGACCTTAAAAACCTCTAAGGAAGGAGATTCCACCACCTCCCTAGGTAACCCATTCCAGTGCTTCACCACCCTCCTAGTGAAAAAGTTTTTCCTAATATCCAACCTAAACTTCCCCCACTGGAACTTGAGACCATTACTTCTTGTTCTGTCATCTGCTACCACTGAGAACAGTCTAGATCCATCCTCTTTGGAACCCCCTTTCAGGTAGTTGAAAGCAGCTATCAAATCCCCCTCATTCTTCTCTTCTGCAAACTAAATAATCCCAGATCCCTCAGCCTCTCCTCATAAGTCATGTGCTCCAGCCCCCTAATCATTTTTGTTGCCTTCCGCTGGACTCTTTCCAATTTTTCCACATCCTTCTTGTAGTGTGGGGCCCAAAACTGGACACAGTACTCCAGATGAGGCCTCACCAATGTCGAATAGAGGGGAATGATCACATCCCTCGATCTGCTGGCAATGCCCCTACTTATACAGCCCAAAATGCCGTTAGCCTTCTTGGCAACAAGGGCACACTGTTGACTGATATCCAGCTTCTCGTCCACTGTAACCCCTAGGTCCTTTTCTGCAGAACTGCTGCCTAGCCATTCGGTCCCTAGTCTGTAGCAGTGCATGAGATTCTTCTGTCCTAAGTGCAGGACTCTGCACTTGTCCTTGTTGAACCTCATCAGATTTCTTTTGGCCCAATCCTCTAATTTGTCTAGATCCCTCTGTATCCTATCCCTACCCTCCAGTGTATCTACCCCTCCTTCCAGTTTAGTGTCATCTGCAAACTTGCTAAGGGTGCAGTCCTCACCATTGTTGCCGGCACAGATGCCCGAGGACAGCAACAGCGGGGTTCGTTGCCCAGCGTGCTTCGCGCCAATAAACATACCAGGGTGGAGAAACAATCAAAGTTTATTTGAGATCTCAAAGTGGTGCAAGGAGACAGGCAAGTCTCAAATCAAGCACACCAGCAAAAAAACAGTTTCTCTCTTCTTATACTTTTTACAACTAAGCCCCCCCTCTCTCCCCCTCTACCACCCCCCCCTCTACTCCCCCTTCTCTATCTCTCCCTCTACTCCCCCTCCCCTCTCTACCGAAGGCATGTTTATACATTTAAGCCGTTAAATCATTCTAGGGCTATAAATCTAGCTTGTTAGTAACACTCCTCTAAACAGTTATTTGGTTCTGTTTACTCTTAGTTTGTTACTCCTTCTCCAGGTAGAAACATGCAAACCTCATCATTATTGCTTGGTACCTGGTATGAGCAAGGTCGTAATTGGTAATTGGCTGTTTACACATTCCAATTTCTGTCCTTGGCTTTTGAGGTCGATTAGAGTTAAACATGGAAGGACAGAGTTTAAACATGGAAGAACTCTGGTTCATATATATAGGCCTAATGATGTCAACACCATCCTCCAGATCATTAATGAAGATATTGAACAAAACTGGCCCCAGGACCGACCCTTGGGGCACTCCGCTTGATACCGGCTGCCAACTAGACATCGAGCCATTGATCACTACCCACTGAGCCCGACAATCAAGCCAGCTTTCTATCCACCTTATAGTCCATTCATCCAGCCCATACTTCTTTAACTTGCTGGCAAGAATACCGTGGGAGACTGTATCAAAAGCTTTGCTAAAGTCAGGGAATAATACGTCCACTGCTTTCCCCTCATCCACTGAGCCAGTTTTCTCGTCATAGAAGACAATTAGGTTAGTCAGGCATAACTTGCCCTTGGTGAATCTATGCTGACTGTTCCTGATCACTTTCCTCTCCTCTAAGTGCTTAAGAATTGATTCCTTGAGGACCTGCTCCATGATTTTTCCAGGGACTGAGGTGAGGCTGGCTGGTCTGTAGTTCCCCAGATCCTCCTTCTTCCCTTTTTTAAAGATGGGCACTACATTAGCCTTTTTCCAGTCATCCGGGACCTCCACTGATCGCTATACAGACGATTGCAGACGCTCCCTGGCTGGCCTGGGTGGGGCTAGCCTAGAAAAGTACTTTCGGTTTTGCTTTTCCAGCCTCTGCGTCTAGGCCCGGGCTAGTGAAGGTAACGGGGCCCCTGGGACCCCCACAGTCCCGTCCCCTGGGGTTCAGGGCCCCCAGCTGGGGAGAGAACCCAGGAGTCCTGGCTCCCAGCCCCCCCCAACGGGATAGGACCCAGGAGTCCTGCCCCCCCACTACAATACAATGTGTAGGGATACAAATGTGTGTGCGCTGCCCCCTTTAACATGGGGGGTGGGTGTGTGTCTCCCACCCCCAGCACTGCGCAGGGTGGATGTACAGCGCAGGGGGGGTTGGAGTCACGGCCCAGCCCTGCCCGGCCCCGCCCACGGAGGGCCCCCCCCACCGGCCCCGGAAGTCGCGGGGACTCACCCTCAGCAGAGCAGGGTCTATGACCCGGGACAGGCAGGTCCGGCACTGCCCAGCAGGGGGCGGCGCGGCTCTGGGAGCGGGGCCCGGGATGGGGGAGTTTGGATCGGAGCCAGAGCAGGAAATTCAGCACTTTGCTGGGTCAGAGCCGCCCCCGACTTCTGTCCATCCTCACCCTCCCACGCCTGTCCAACCCCCCCTTCTGTCCATCTGTCCAGCCTCACCCCCCCCCCATGCCTGTCCAGCTCCCTCTTCTGTCTGTGCGTCCCCACCCACACGTCTCCCCTCCTTTCGTCTGTCCATCCATCCCCCCTACATTTCCATCTTTCAGCCGTACCCCAGTCCCTGATGGGGGCTGGGCCCATGTGGGGGGGTCGGTAGTCTCTAATTGTGTTTGTCTGGCCCGGCTGAGAGCCCTGATGACGGGGTGTATCCATCCCACTCTGGGCAAGCGGGGGCGTTCCCCCCCCCCAGCAGATGTGCAGGGCCCTGTGACGCTCCCCTACATTTCTCCACCCCTCCCCCGGCCCCCAGCCATTCCCTCCATCCAAACGTCCATCCCCACCCCGCTCCCATCCGTCTGTCCATCCATCCCCATTACCCCCCCACACACACATTTCTCCATCCAGCTCCCAGCTGTGCCCCGTCCCTGCCTGCCCCTACTTGCTGGGGGCTGGCCCCGTGTGCAGGGAGGGGGAGCCCGGGGGGGCCCGAGAGGAGTCGTCACTCTGATCTCTGAGCTAGGCCCGTGAGCCTGCGGGACTCCCTGCCATAGGACTTGGCTGAGCAGGGGGGTGGGACTGGGGTCTCAGAGCCATTGCTGGGGGACACACCCTGTGCCCATCAGTTTCCATGGGAACCCTGTATCTCACCGCACACCCTTCCCCCGCACAGATCTCCGACCCCAGACCAAGATGACGAGCTGCGGCCTCCTGAACAGTTCCAACAAGCCGGGTGAGTCAGGGCTGGGAGATCCCATGACTGATGCCCCCCTCCCCCGGAGCCCATGGGGGGGTGTTGTGGGGGGCCCATTGCTGACATCCCCCTTTCCTGGCACCCATGGGGGTCAGAGGGGCCCGTGGCTGACGTCCCACTCCCCCGGCTCCCGTGGGGGTCAGAGGGGCCTGTGGCTGATGTCCCTCTCACCGCAGTGCCCCTGCGCAGCGGCGTGGTGACAGTGCTGATCCGAGGCTTCGTGGCGGACGTGGGCTGCGAGCTGCTCTA